GAGAAAGATAGAAGACACGTGACACGCATTTTACAGAAAGAAAGAGAGAGAGAGAGTGAAGTAGGTGAAAGATGTAAGAGAATGGTTGGTGGTGTTCGTCCATGAGATTAGAGAAAGGGATATGGTGTAGTGGTAGTGATGGTAGTGGTGTTGGTTTGGTAGTGTGGTGGTTAGATGGATAGATGGATGTTAGTAGGGACTATTACCCGGTCCTTTTCTTTCACAATGTACCATTGTCTTTCTTTTTATTTTTTTTTTTATTTTTACTCCTGCTTTTGACTACCACCTTTCGAATTATATGTTTTTCTGTTTATGTATATATATATATATATGTGTGTGTGTGTGTACTTATACTCTTTTCGTTGTACCACTTTCTAGTATGAAATGGATCATCATCGTTGTGTGTAAGAATCTTTCTTTCGTTGCAATATGAGAACACGGTGCAACAATACAGTGCAATAAGTAAAAAAGATGCAAAATATGAAATATGACGAAGTCTCAATAATTAATAAAAAAAAATACGAATTATAAATTTGATCGAATTAATTAATAAGATTATCCAAAAAATTAATAAATAAATAATGAATTTTTGTCTATAAATAACGTTAAATGTTTCATCATTCATGTAAAATGACTCATAAAAAGTAATTCATTATAAAAATGCTACGTGATCACATTTGCAAACATATATATATATATTTTCTTTTAAGGAATAAAATAGTGTAAACGTTGATAAAAAAAAAAATAGAACAAAGAAAAAAAGAAAAATTATGTGTAACTGCTATGGGACACAGAGAAATAAGAAAAATTCGACGACGACAACGATGACCATGAATCATAGTTCTTTTCCTGTTACTCTTAATGGGATTTCACCAATCACGTAATATTTTATTCTGCTAATCCTAATGCATTAGTCATTAATACTTGTTCACTCATTCTTTTTTTTTTATATTAATTTCATAATAAAATTAGATTATACTTTGTTACTAAATATAATAATCATCATTTTCTTCCAACGTGTGATTAATATTTATCGTAATGTTTTGATGTTAATATAAAGTAGATTTCTTGAAATAAAAATAAAAATGGATATTGTGAAAAAGAACTAAGAGAAGAGAAGTGAAGAGAAGAGAAAAGAAGAGGATGTTATTCATCTCCTTTAAAATGACGTGGGTCTCTTAAAACAAACGTAATGAAAGAGACAACCTTCTATGATTTATTCTTATATATGTCGACCCTTTTTCATTGATACGTATAATAAATCCTACACGTCAGTAACAATTCAACCAATATATATATTTGTATGTGTGTGTGAGGGTGGATTGAAATTGAAAATCTTATACTTGAAATTCCTACTTTATGGTAGATTGTTTTTCTATTTTTAGGATCAAAATATTTGTTTACTTTATTATTTAAAATAAAATTAAATTTCGAAATTCAAATGAATACATATATGTATACACATATATCTATGCATTAGTAAATGTTATACATATACCTCTGAGCAATTTCCTGGCCTAAAAAGTCAGACGTTGGATAAATGTATGACGAGATGCCGAGCTAAATAACGAGATAAATTGCAAGGATGTCGGTAGTTACTTCATCGAATCAACTTACCATCATCACACTCGGTTGTGTTGTTCGTAATCGACTTTTTCTCAAGTCTTTTTAACTCATACTGACAAATAAATGTATTACTTATTAACTGTCTTTATTTCTATTATTATCTAATAATATTAGTTATTAACTAACTCTATATTTATGATGGTTACTAGCATGATTAACATAAAATAACAAAATAAATGTTGTACCAACTGTCTGTAGTAGAAGCAAGCGAGACCACAAATTGCTGACTCAAACCTAAATTTAATAATTTCCCGAGTATAATATAAATAAAATAAATATATGTTATAAAATATCTTTCCTTTTCTGTTTTTTTTTATTTATTTTGTTGTTGTAGAGATTACATCAACTACTATGAGAAAGCTTCATTATCCAGCTAACTTTGAATTTACTTTCCTGGACTTATATGGCTCGTTGTTCGCCCGGTTTAACCGCGATAATGGACATTGCTCGGTCAAGGTTTCGAACATAGTGTTTGCGTCAGTTTTACTATATATATATATATATATTTCTCTCTCTCTCTTTTTCTCACAATCAGTTAAACAAACAACGAGAATTACCGTTGAAATATATTGAAATATATTTTATTAAAATCGTATTAACAAAAATAACGTGATACCATGTATAAATCATATTACGTAGCAACACACGATTAATTAAAAAACTAACTTTTGAATATATCAAATATTATTATGGTTTAAAAAAATTATATAACATTTTGTAAACAAGTGTTAATCATATTTTTTGTTTTCCTCCTTTTTTTTTCTCTCTCTTGGTTGACCTTCTATGAAATCGAAATGACAAATTGTAAATCGAAAAAAATTCTGTCTGGAGATAATAAAAAGAAATAACGAAAGAAAGAAAGAAAGAAAGAAAACAAATTATAGGAGAGATAAGACAGCAAGGTTTTGTTATATATAAAAAAAAAAAAGTTAAAAAGAAAAAAATGAGGTTCTCGTTTTTATCGGCAGGTTTGGCTACTTTCCAAAAGGGTTGCTTGTGTGCGGCTAGACGAAAAATCTTTTATTCGTGATAGTGAATGACTCATGGTACTTAAATAAATACTTATTTATCTGCCTAAGCTGATTCACGTATTTTTTTGCTTCTATAGAAATTTAGTAAAAAAGAAAAAAAGAAGAAAAGTTTATACAAAGAAGAAATTTGTTTACAAACAAATGGATGAACCAAATAATTCATACGATATTAACAAATTATTTTTATCACGAGATATAAAATCATTGTTAAATATATATATATATATATATATGTATTAATAATGTGTGAGTATTTTGAACTTGATATCGTTATAAATACTTGATAGTATTAGTAACAGTAGTAAAGAATGACAATATATAACACACAATGTAACCGGACTAGACTACACCGACTTATCATGGTTGATCATCGCTCATGATTTTACGCCTTCCCATAAAAGGACACCTCTCCTCTCTTTCCAATCAAGATTGTTTTGTGTCTCTTATTTTTCCGAAGCGTGACGTGACATAAAAAGAAAGGATCACCCTTCCGTCCTTCCTTCCTTCCTTACTTCTTCTCGTAATACCCTAGATAGAGTTGTCAGATCAATTCAAGCTAGAGTTTCTAAAGCTTCAACGGGATCCCCCCCCCCTTTTTTTCATTGAAATTGATCGATCGATGAAATTTGATATACAATGCAATAAGTATTTCTATAGTAATATAATAGTATTATTTTGCAACCTTTGACAATCTTTGTTCTTTATTATTTTTTTTTTTTTTTAAACAAATCATTATAAAATATATTATTATTATTAATTGGCATTAGGAATTCGAAAGTTCATTACCACAAATACCAAATCCCGCCAATGTTACAAAAATATGGTAATGATATATCATCGATCAATTTCGTGAAAAGAGAAAGAAAATAACAAAATGAAAAATATCATCGTTCTTAACGTTCTACGAATCGTAATTTTCGTGCAAATTTAAAATTCGCGCTCTTGTGATCCGCGCGGAATATGAAAAAAAAAAAATGGCGCACATTGGAACCAATTGAAGAATCAATGAAATCAAAATCAAAAGAGAAATTCATTATTATATTTTTATAAATTGTATTCAATAAATCAAAGATTATTGATCACATTTATATCACGAACCAATCATTTCTTTTCTTTTTTTATTATTTATTTATTTATTTATTTAAATGATTTGTCTCGAATTATAACCCCGACATAATTACGTAACGCGCATATGCCGTCTATAAAGCGGGAATCATTTCAACCAATAAGAAATACCTGTTGCATTCACGTTACTCGTTCGTACCTAATATCAACTAATAATAATGCACTTTAATGTACATTTAAGGAAAAACAAAATAAAACATTCTAGAAAGATTAAAAGTACGCGTGATTTCAAAGTGAGAGAAAAGAAAAAAAAATAAATAAACAAACATACATATACATAGACGTTATACACGAGACAAGAAAAAGGCCAAGGACGTCGATTACGACAATTTAACCCCACGTTTTATCTTGCACAATTCCCGTTAATTGGTACGTTACAAATAATTCAATATACAAAAGAATTGAAAGTACAATGAAGGGGAGGGAGTGAGGGTGGGTTAAAGACGTAAGCTAAGCAGCAAACCGTGTGTGTATATATTCGTTTAACGATATCCGTTGTGTGTCGTCGTCGTGTTACACGTCGTTAAACTAGTTCGGTGCATCCAGTTTTTCCACTCTCTTGGCTTGCCTCCTCTGCCCAACACACGTTTCGTCGTCCCTGGACAACGAAAGGGACGACGACAAATACGACACAAAAACGAAAACGAAAAGAACAATTAAATATTATTACGAGAATCGTATGACCGACATAAGATGATAATTATATACACATATATGTATATACATTCGTAGTTTTTTTTAAATCAAGAGAAAAAAAATAGATTGAAAGCCATAGAAAAAGAAAGAAAGAAAGAAAGAAAGAAAGAAGAATGAATGAATTGTAAGTGCGGCCCTGCATCGATCCCGATAACGACGCAACTTGTTGCCTCTATGTTGAATGATCAACGCCACTGTTTGATCATCGTAGTTATACCAAATTGTTTTTCTTTCTTTTTACTTTTTTTTAAATATATTATTTATTTTTATCCTACCAAAATTTATTTAAAATTTTTTCGATAAGTAAGAATATGATTTAAAGAAATATTGAATATATTAAAAAAAAAAAAAGAGTCAATATCAAGTTTCGAATATGTTAATACGACTCGAGTCAAAATCAAAAGTGACATAATGAAGTATCTTAAAACACAGTGTTATTTACCTAGAAATCAACTAAGAGAATATTTGAAACTTGAGCTTGGTATTGTATACTCTTATTACCACTTAATTTGTTCAACTTACCGAGATCCTCGACAAGACGTAGCATGACACCACCGATGTGCAATTCTCCCTTAACGCGTAGGCTCCTCTCTACCTGCAGATCCGTCACGTAGACTCGCAGCACCCAGCTGCCGTCTACTTCGTGACCGTCCGAATACATCTTCTTTTATTATTTACTTTATTTTTCTTCCAAATTTATTCGTTAAACCGAATCTATCCTCCTACTTCTTCTTCTTCTTCTTCTTCCTTTTTTTCTTCTCCACCTTCTCCTCCTTGTTATCTTCTTGTTCCTTGCACTATCTCAAACTTCTTCAAAACGTTGTATCTTTAGATGCACTAAAATGTATCATGGTATCCACTTTTATTTCCACGTGTTTTAAATAAGAACTATATAACATTCGTATAACCTATTTTAAATCTTAGAATAATCTTAATCTTTTCACAAACAATAATGATAACAACAGTTATGATGACGACACGACACGACAATCACACGACCAAGACCACGATCACGACGACCGACGACCGACGACCGACGACGACGACGACGACGATGACGACGACGAATTCGCGCAAAGTTTCGTCGTCGCGCGAATACGATATTATAAAATCTCTTCTCCGGATACGGTAACGCGTATTTCGAAGGATCGTTCTCCTCTCTTTCTCTTTCAACTCTCCTTTACTTCGAGAGATCTCTCACCGAGTAACGCCTCCCACCACTGTACTCTTCCAACTACCACACAGCGCGAGGAAACGAGATACAGGATCGCACGATTTACGATCTACACGACCGATACTGCACGAACGCTCGCGCTCGGTTAAGCTCGGCTAGGCGACTGAAAATTCGACGAGCAGCCACGAACGAAGACAATCGTCAACGTTCGGCGGCCCGAGTTCGGTATGCGCGTAGCGAACTACTTCCCCCACCACCGTGCTTTCTTACTTCTTCCATCTCTTTCTTACCAGCCGCACCTTCTTCAGTCAAACTTTTATATCTTCAGGGACGAACTAATATGGAGGTGGTATAGGCACCACGCAACTAACTTTACATGAAATTCAAGAATTCTCTTTCTTTCCTTTGTTTTTCTCTCTCATGCTCTTTTTACCTTGTATGATTTTTATATAAAAATATGAGATTTAATATTAATCAATAACTCGATATATTTTATAGATTATTACGATTAACAGATTTTATTCTTACTTTGTTGTAAATTCATTTATATTGTACATTTATTAACATCATCTGATATATTTCATATTTTTAAATGTTTTATATTTTAATAAAAATAGGAAACTTTAATAGTACTTTATAATACATTTGGAGTAAATTCTTACTCTCATTATAAATAAGGTTAAAGGTTTTGGATTTAGATAAGATAATCTCTTAATTATCAGTTGAAGGAATTCATTGTATAAAGAATATAATTTTACATAATTTATTAATCAACCGTATACATGGCATTTCTATGCAGTTGGATCATCTCCCTTAGTTGTTCTGGTATAAATGAGTTGTGCATGATGTTGAACTACTTGTTTAATTAAACCTTTTTGTTGTAGTTCACTTAATGCTCTTCTTGCAAGTGATCCTCGGATTTTTAACCTTTCACTTACAATGGATGGTGTAATTAATTTGTATAGTGGTACTTCTTTTAACAATTTGTCGTATGTACCTCTATCGAACAATACTTGATTGTTCAATTTATCACGAACTTTTCCTTTGGACCACTTCTGCAAAAATAAGGAAACATATTAGTTTATAATTTGAATAGAACTCAAAAAATGTTCATGTACATTCATATATAATGTAATATATGTAGCAAAGGAAATATATCTCATCAGGCTCATTAAATCAGATTTTTGCTTCCACGATTAGTCAAGCTAGACAAGTTATCATCATACAAGATAATATTTCCATAAGTAATATAATATATAAACAAAACTCTGACAGATATAGGAAAAATTACAAACCTTCTTCTTTGCTTTTCCACCAGACCCACCCTCCTTCTTCTTTTGGGTCTTTTGTGGTTGCTTCGAAGAACCCTTCGTATCCTTTTTGGGAGGCTAAAATGAAATAATTAATATAAGTATAAGAAAAATACTCTTTGTACACGTTTACTAAATTACAATACTATTATAAATAAACGTTAATATAAACTACATGAGAAACTGTTAGGTTAGAAAAATATTAAGAATATACTAATGAAACTAATTCGACATATTATTTATATCCATTGAATGTTTATTATATAAACCATTATTAATTTGTTGAAAAATGTAAAAACTTCAATAATAATTTGCTGTAATTTATTACACGCTTGTTTTTACACCATGTGGATACAATCATGCACTAAAGTTTTTTCACATATTCACAGATTCTTTAATATCTTTTTATTATAATTAAAAGTTCACTATTTTGTTTTAGCTACAAATTCTACGTTAAAATTGTAAATAGAAATATATTTTTAATAAATTTTTAACTATTATTTGTTGTATATATTCTTATAAAACTTACCATGATTGCTACCTGTACGTAAAGGAAGAGCAAAGAGACGACGATAGTTGTGCTACAGTGGCGCCACTACTTTAATCAAATACTTTTTTACAAAACTAATTCATATGAAAATAGTATTTAGAAATATATAATTTCTTTTAACGCTTAAATATTAGAAAAAATTTTGATTTATACTTATTTATTTCATTAGATTATATGAAATATAAAATTACCGATGAATTTAGAGAAAATTAAAATTCATTTATTGTATATATATTTTTGTATGCAAGTGACATGATATGAAAATATATTATACGAGCATCGAAAAACATTTAAATAGGACACAAAACAATTTATTCATTTAATAAAAAATTATAATTCGATATCAAAAGATAAAAATTGTCTTGAATTTTCACAAATATATTTACTTGAATTACTTTTCATTTCTTTAACTATTAAATAGCTAACATGGCACTTGCAACAAATTATTCATGACATTCTATTAAAATCGAATAGAAATGATACAAATTAAGCGTATAAAATTATTATTCTATTAGTCATTAGAAAACTATAACTGTAAAAGATGATGTATTCAGACAATTACCAGAAAGTATATTAACTTTTTATTTAATTTGTATAAAGTACATTATTTCTACGTTGCAGGATCATCTCCCTTAGTTGTTCTGGTATAAATAAGTTGTGCATGATGTTGAACTACTTGCTTAATTAAACCTTTTTGTTGTAATTCAATTAATGCTCTTCTTGCAAGTGATCCTCGGATTTTTAACCTTTCACTTACAATGGATGGTGTAATTAATTTGTACTGCGGTACTTCTTTTAACAATTTGTCGTATGTACCTCTATCGAACAATACTTGATTATTCAATTTATCACGAACTTTTCCTTTGGACCACTTCTGCAAAAATAAAGAAATATATTAGTTTATAATTTGAATAGAATTCCAAAAATGTTCATGTACATTCATATATAATGTAATATATTTAGAAAAGGAAATATATCTCATCAGGCTCATTAAATCAGATTTTTGCTTCCACGATTAGTCAAGCTAGACAAGTTATCATCATATAAGATAATATTTCCATAGGTAATATAATATATAAACAAAACTCTAACAGATATAGGAAAAATCACAAACCTTCTTCTTTGCTTTACCACCAGACCCACCCTCCTTCTTCTTTTGGGTCTTTTGTGGTTGCTTCGAAGAACCCTTCGTATCCTTTTTGGGAGGCTAAAATGAAATAATTAATATAAGTATAAGAAAAATACTCTTTGTACACGTTTACTAAATTACAATGCTATTATAAACAAACGTTAACATAATCTACATGAGAAAGTGTTAGGTTAGAAAATTATTAAGAATATACTAATGAAACTAATTCGACATATTATTTATATCCATTGAATGTTTATTATGTAAACCATTATTAGTTTGTTAAAAAATGTAAAAACTTTTATAATAATTCACTGTAATTTATCACACGCTTGGTTCACACCATGTGGATACAACTATGCACTAAAGTATTTTTATACATTCACATGTTCTTTAATATCTTTTCATTATAATTAAAAGTTCACTATTTTGTTTTAGCTATAAATACCACGTTAAAATTGTTAATAGAAATATATTTTAAATAACATTTTGTATATAATTTTTTGTACATGTTCTTATAATACTTACCATGGTTACTACGTGGGAAGAAAGGAAAAGGAAGACGACGATAGCTATGCTACAGTGCTGCCACTACTCCAATCAATATACGATTTAATAAAATTAATTAATGTACAGATATCAATATTAAAGTATACAATAATTCTTTTTTTGTAAAACTTTAATATTCATAAAAATATTAATCTACAATTATTTTATTCATTACATTATATTAATTATAGAATTGATTCATGTAGTATTGTCTATTGAGTTTTCTAGATTTCTTCTTTTGTTTAAGTATAAAACATAACATTGAGATATTTATTAATTTTAATGATATTCTTTTTGAAGTAATTTTATACAAAATATATTTAAATAATATTACAATATATAAAAGAAAAATTTTAATTCAAATCATCTTAATGATTGATAATATTTTAGTCCTATCTTTTTATCATTTTATGTATAATTTAAATGAGTATTGCATTTCAATGCTATAAGATCAACATTATTTAGGATTTATTTATATAGCATATATATTAAATGTAAGTATTGTTTTATCAATTAATTGTTTATTTTATATAATATTTTATTGATTATTGTCTTGTGATTAAAATAATATTTGAAAATTTTTAATATTTTAGCAGTCAATAATGTAGTGTTACATCAATACCGATGCAATATTCGTCTAAAGCCATCTTACAAGAAATGATTGTACTAAATACAACATTGGAGCTTATTTTTGTGATATCTAACGATTTCTTATACATTTGACGCGTGGAATCCAACATAGGCTGTCAACGTTCAAAGTTTACTCTTTAAGTAATGATTTTTATTAAAAAAAAGTTTAAAGAAAGTGTAATTCAACTTTACATCAATATAACTGTATTATCATCTGTTACAAATGGCAAGAATCTTTAAAGATGTCATCGTATTTACTTTCTAATACATTATCTATTGTAAGTAATACGAAGAATGTTAAATTTTTATTGATATACTTTCAATGTTTTTCTTCTAACAAATATCATTTTTCCTAACGTCATAACATTTCGAAATCATTGTAAGTTATTTATCATCGTATACGTCTCAACAATTAATGTATATTAGATTTTTTTGCTTCATTTTGTATTCTTTTCTTATGTTTGTCATGTATTATTCTGTCTGAAAACATTCGAGATGTTATCGCATATGATTATTATGATTCGTCTCACTGGTGATATGACGTTACAAAACCATATATATTTCTCAGCAGAATTCTGAGTAATACATACATTGGAATTTATCCTGGGCTTGTCAAGTTAACTTTGCAGTAAAATCAAACATGACTAGTAAAAAGAGCCATACTCTTAGAATAGAATCTGAAATTGATAGAAATAGAGAAGAAGCTAATTGGAAAAAGGTTATAGAATTGGCTGAACATCTTAAAGCACAGTATCCTAATAATGGTAAATATTAATATTCTTATATTTGTATTTCTCCATCATTTATATATTTTTAAGTATTTGTAAAAAAAAAAAAGAAATAATTCATAACCTTTATTTTATGATCTATATTTAATCAATATGTGATTTATATTTTTCATTTCAGAATGCTTGGCAAATTTTCTTTGCGGTGAAGGAAGATTAGAAAATTTTTTAGAACAGACACCGCCTATCGATTCTAACATAACTAAAGCAAAAAGTGGATTGTTAGAAGCTAAAAGATATTTACTTCTAGCTGCAAACGAAAAGGATAAACAAGTATGCGCTGCTATGATCAATTTTATATATTTAATATTTAAATATTTAATCTGTTAACATTTAATTTAAGATTTCGTTTGTTATATACGTTATATTTCTTTCTTTAATTATGTAATAATATATTTCTAGGCATTAGTGGTATTGGATGCACATTTACTTCTCGGTAAACTTCATTATGCAATGGGAATGTACGAAGAGGCACTATATCATTATCAACAAGCTGAATTACATACTTTGACAGAAAAAGAGTTACCTAGTAGAAGTCTAAGGATTATTGCTGAATCATATGCAATTAAAGGTTTGCAGATTGACTTTCATTTTTAAGTCAATACGTGATAATTTATTTCAAATCATACATTCATTCATGCATCTATCGGTTGGCATAAATATTTTTTTATATTTGTTAGTTTGACTTTTTTCTGTGGAGTAAAAACAGGTGTGCTTTGTAGGATTTATAGAAGGGAGTGAGGGAGGGGAAGGGGAAGGAGGGTGAGGGTGAGGGGGGGGGGGAAGAGCAGCATGTTATTGTGTAAATTGTTATTTGTAGTTTTGCAAGTATTCATTTTCCAGATTTCTAAGTAACAGTTTATCAGTATTTATTCTAGCATCTACACATTGTTCATGGTAGGTCTCAGTCTGGAAAGGTTGCCTCCAAATTCTAAAACCAAATTTAGAATAGCAGAATGGCAAGAGGAGATGGTTAAATGTTTTATTATTGCGGGAGACTTAACGCTTGTATACTTACAAGAATTAGATAAAATTGCGCTACAGCAACAAAATGGATCTGTTACTGTAAATAGCAATAATATAGGTACTGTCACACAATATCATGTGTTAAAATATTTATTTTTAGCATTATTATATCAACATTTAATTGATATTTTTTAGGAGTATATACTACACAATCTTCGGTTTGTGTTACAAAACAAATTGGTCCAATTTTAGAAACGGCATTACAACGATCACCTTTGTTATATCTTCAAACTGGCAATGTACAAGCTGCTATTGCTCGTTATAGGTATCATTATTAAAATATCTTCAATATAATTTAATTTTTTAATATTAATATATTGTTAATTATTTAAAAAACAATCAATAATAAAATCCATTAACAGAGAAGTTTTATCAGCTGTGGAGACAACAGCAACGCAAAACTTGAGAGTCAAAATGACTAAACAATTAGCTGAAGTACTGTTGCGAAAAATATGTAGTACTGATTACAAACTTCCAGAAGGATTAATTGAATCAACTGGTTTGTATCTTATTATTATTCACTCATTGTATCTTATGATTATGAAATTAGAATAATATATATTAAAATTTATGTTTGATACATTATTAGATTCGCCATGGAAACCAAAGAGATACGTAGGGCTTAATATGTTCCTTCCAAAAAATGAATACGAGGAATTAATATTGTTATTACTCATTAGTGAAGCTATGGCAGTACGTGATGCAGTATTAAGTCAATCACCAGAATTCAAGGAAGCTAGAATACAAGCATTTGAGAATGCTACTAATATCTACGATCTTTTAACAATTATTGTTGTTAGGTGGAATCAAGTGGATCTACTGCACGAGGTAATCATTTATAATTATATATGATATATTTGAAAATATAGAAAACATTTTTCTTTTATTATTTTTCTCTCATAATAATATTATTTATTATCGACAGTCCTTCGAAAGAGCAATGAAATTTTCTCACGAAGAGGCACATACGTGGACGCAATATGCTTTATGTTTAATAAGTTTAGGAAAATACATGCATGCTTATACAGTGTTAAAAGTTGTAACTAGATTGTCACCTCATAAAGTTGTGCCTTGTTTATTGGCTGCAAGATTGTGTTATGAACAATTTAATAGGGTGAGTTTATTTATTAAAATGTGTATTCATATATATATACAGAAATCTTTATAGAAATAGATCATGTAAATAAAGTATTATACTTCTAGATACTAGAAGGTATTGATTGGAGTCACAAAGCATTACAAAGGGAAACTGCAAGTCCTCAAGGAATGCAATCTAGGTGTCATCTATATATTGGTATTGGTCACAGTATACTTTCTGCAAATACCACTATCAAACAAGACAAGTTACAATACACTGACACTGCTATGGATTGTTTTCAAAAGTATAATTCACACATTACTATTTATATTATAAGTTGAAATTATTTTCAATTATAATTATATTAACATTATATAAAATTTCAGAGCACAACAATGTGATCCAAATGATCATTTAGCAGAATATTATTTGGCACATGAATATGCGATGAATAGACAAATAAATGAAGCCATGATTCACGTTAAAATAGCATTAAGTTTAAGGGCAGAACACATTCCGTCGTTGCATTTATTAGTATTGCTATTATCTGCCAATAAACAATATTCAGAAGCATTACATTTGATCAATAGCGTATTAGAAGAATATCCTGACAATTTAAATTTTCTTTATGTAAAAGCACATTTAGAATTACGAAGTATTAGCGGTGAGGTAGCATTATTTACGATAAAACAAATGTTTTCACTTTGGAAAAGTTTATTCGAAGATCAAACAAATATAACTTGTAACGAACAACACAGTGAAAAGCGTAGTGAGATTAGAAGCGTATGTCAATTTTTCGCATCAGAATTGTCTGATAAAGATTCCAGTAAGTATTGCAAGTAAAGCTTTTTCAAATTATGTTCGCAGCATATTTTTATTTTTGTGTTGTAAATTTTAAAATTATCATATATATATATATGTATATATAATTTTTGCAAATATAGGTTCAATGCATGCACAATCATTAGCTGCTTCAAGAGTAGAACAAGCTCTTTCAGAAGTAGCATCATCATTAAGCTCCTTTACACCTAAACCTGGTCCGCAAAGAGCTTGGGTTTTGCAATTACAAGTTTGGTTGTTACTTGCAGAAGTATTTTTAGCAATGGATCAACCAAATGGTGCTATTTTATCGTTACAAGAAGCCAGTTCTATATTTCCATTGAGTCATCATATAATGTACACGGTAAGATTTAATAAATTCAATGTAGAGTGCACGATCAATCAATATATAATATTTATTGTTTCCTTTTTAGCGTGGTTTATTACATGAATACAAATTAGAATACTCAGAAGCAAAACAATGCTATCAGAATGCTGTTACAATCAATCCGTCTCATGTAAAAAGTTTGCAGCATTTGGTAAATAATATTAAAATAATAATATATATCATATTTAAAATATACAAAATATTTGTAATATTTGAAAATAATTGTATTTAATATCTTATAGGGTTTAATACATCACTACTTGGGAAATCAGAGGTTAGCGGAGAAAACATTAAGAGATGCAGCCAAAATAGATCCTAATTCTCATCAGACTTGGTATTATACATATATATGAATTGTTTTTTCACATAAAACTTTTTGACAGTGCAATTTATATATAAATTAATATTAAATAATTTTCTAAGGTATAACTTGGGTAAAGTACTGGAGTCTTTAGGTGAGGTAGAAGGTGCAAGCGATTGTATGGCAACAGCTTTAGAAGTAGAAACAACAAATCCTATTTTACCAATTTTGTCAATACCATTGACTTTTGAGTGATATGAAATATAATCAAATGATGGAAATTTTCAAATGACGTTATGAACCATGCCAGTATTATCGGCGTACATTTGCCTTCGTGTCAATAGTACCTGCTTCTATAGATACAATGTATATGTGTATAAACAGATTTATTTACAAATGGCGTTTAAATTATGCAAATAACATTTAATAATTGATGTAATTAATTCATGTAAAGTTTATGTCTGTAAAGATTTGTAGCAAGGGTGATACAGTTATTAAACTTCAAGAGATTATTTCGTTACCTGTTTAACTAATTATTTGTAATGTAATATGTATATCTTTAAAATGCATTTAAATATGCATCCTTCCAAAGAAAACGATGCAACACAATGTTATCATAAATTTCTTACAAATGAGAATGTGTTTGTTTGATTTTTTTTTTAGGTAGTTTAAATCATGGGTTTTTTTCGTTTGAAAATGTTCAACTAGATGTCGCATGTGTATCTATTTTTAAAATTGCATTTTACTTGTAGCATGTTTATCGTTTGATTTGTTCCTTTTTTTATTTTTAAGTTTAAATAAAATTGAAAACTCTTTCACACACATAAATAAATCATTTCAATATGCTTACTCTTCAATTTGGACAATGTGGAAATCAATTAGGACATGCATTGTTTTCAAAACTTTCTGCTGATATAGATGCTAAAAAAACAGGAGTGTCATATAATATTAATTATAATTACATTGAAAATGTATTTGACAAATGGTTTTCTGGATTAACCAAAGATGGCAAACGATTAGCTAGAACAATTCTTATGGATACAGAAGAAAAAGTTATAAATAAAATAACAGATAATAAATGTGAAAATTGGACTTATTGTACTAGTAATATCATTTGTCAAGCTGCTGGGGGCTCTGGTAATAATTGGGCATATGGATATATGGAAAAAGGAATTAGATTTTACGAATTGATATCAGATATTATTCAATGTGAAATTGAAAAGATAGATAATTTGGATGGTTTTCTTTTTCTTCTTAGTTCGTCAGGTGGAACCGGTTCAGGAATTGGAAGCCATATAATAGAATTAATGCGAGATGAATATAAAAATAAATCATTTGTTAGCACGATCATATTACCATTCTTATTTGGTGAAATGAGTACGCAAAATTATAATACTTTGTTAACTTTAGTTAAATTTTTAGACAATGTCGATACTGTTTTTCTTTTTGAGAATGAAGATGTTCATAATACACTTAAGAATTTATCAAATGTTGATGTTAAATTAGAGGATATCAATGAAGTAATATCAACAAATTTAAGTGTAGCTTTTCAACCGATAAATAATACTTTCAATAATTTACACTCGTTAATTGCCAAATTAGTTGTAGAACCATGTTATAAATTAGCAACAATTAAAAGTGTTCCCATTTTGTCTACGTTTAATGAATATAATAGTACGAATACTTGGTATTCATATCTGTGTCAATTAAAACGAACGCTTAAAGTATATTCTACCACTTCGGATGTAACTTCTACAAAAACAAAGATATTATCTCATACGTCCAGTTCTACGCCATCTTCATTGTATAGTCGTTCAATATCAAATGTTTTAATTACTCGTGGAAACTGTACGTATAAAGATATCAAAACAGATGATTTAAAAGAGAAATATTTATATGCAGATTGGGTTGCAACCGATTCGTTTACGCATTTCCATCAACAACGATATATTTTAAATCACGATAAGGCTTTAGCTTTACTTACAAATAATTCTAATATTTATAATCCAATTAATAAAGTACTAGATAAAGCTTGGAATTCTTACACACATTCTGCCTTTTTACATCATTATAAAAAATTTGGTTTAGAGGACGATGATTTTTTGAAAACTTTTGCAAAAATTGAAAATGTTGTTAAAGATTACAAGAATTTAAACGAAAGTAAAGAAGATGGTGATAAATGGTAGAAATTTAAGAGAAAATTAATTAAGAATATCTGATATAAAAACAGAAACTCTCTCTGTGTTAAACCTTTAGTTATTAATTCTAAGCCAAACGATCTAGCATAATTGTATACAAAAATGAAGTGAATTTATAATCTGTTTTTACGATATATAGATTTATTTATTATATTATTTATTATATTATTGTGTGTAAAATATTATTTAATTGAATTAAATGCATTGTGATATTTTTTTACCTTAAATAAATTTATATCTTTTTTTTTTCTTGCTTGTGTGCAATTGTATTATACATTTAAATTCAACGATTTTTTTCATTTGTTTTATTATTTATTAAATCTTAATTAAAAGTAGACATTATTAATTATTTAAGAAAGAAAGAAAGAAAGAAAGATAAAATAAATGTAAAGGCATTTTAAATTTGGAGGGCTTATAGTACGACCTATTCGCCACCAGGGTGCGTGGCAGTAGCGTTGAAACACCTCTACAAGTGACATTGCCTCAGTACAGTTGTAGCCGTCGTTGTCATCGGTTCGTCGCGGTTTATCGTGTTCGAATTAAAAATAGAGAGTGGAAATAAAGTTGTTCGATCGAGTGTGTTAATGTTCGTAGGTTAATATGTATATACTTGTGCCTTTCTTGTGTCTTCTTCAGTGATCTAGTTTCTCGAAAACGTGACACGACGTTCGGAGGAATCACGCGTGATGTTTCGAAAGTGATTTAGAAAATTGACGATCCTTCGTAATTTTCCTTTCCTAAATCCTAATCCTTTTCCTTTTTCGTACCTTTGATCTTTTATCCTGAATAAAGTTTGTCATCATTTTCAAATCCTTCAACGGTTGGATTGATTTATGTACAACGACAGAAACAATTCGGATCAACAAATTTGTAAGTTTATTATATTATTTTTGAATATTAATGTACTCGGCGTTTTGAATTTATATCGTATCCAATCAACGATCTTGTTTTAAATATGAATACTTTTTCGCGGGTTAAAATGCGCGTGCGTACACACACGAATCTTTTCGACAAGATTTTTTTACACGAGAGAGAGAGAGAGATAATCAAAATATAATAATTAATAATTCATACTCGTACTTACAATCGTTTTGTATTGTACATTAATATATTTTTTTGTTTACATTCATCATCGTTGTTTAATTATTTGTTGTCATATCAACTAAAAAAACATGATAATAAAGAAAAAACGATCGTCATGATTTTTACGATAGAATATTACCAACACGCATACACACATGTGTGTATATCTTGAAGAGGAATTTTAAATCTAGTACATCGTGAAAGTTCGTTACAACTATAGTATGGTTCAATGAGTAACTTCCTACTTTTTCGTAGATAATATCATTGGTAAATTGATCAAAATCAAATAAACAAGTAGATGAAAAAAAGGTATGTTGCAAAATTTGACGATGTGATAACGATAAAAAAATATAATAAACGATTGATCGATTGATTGATTGAATTTATCGTTTCTCAATGTATTTCTTTCTTTTTTTTTCTTTTTCTTTTATTTAACTTTTTATACAAGATTGTATTTTTCTATCGAAAAAGAAGTAGAAGTAGAAGAAGAAGAAGAAGAAGATTTCTTTGTATCCTGAATGTATCGAGGACGGGTCAGGGATCGGAAACAACTATAAGAAAGTTTTCTTAGATTTTCTATCTTATTTACGTTGGACAATTTATTTCCTTAAGTATTAAACATTTACAATGATATTTGGGCGATAATAAAAATGATTATCTTATCTGTAATCAATATCATTTCTACATATTTACTAATGTATATATTATTTGATACATCTTACGTTAGATCATTCGAAAGATGATATATAAGTTTTGTTTTAGCTTATTAAAAAATTCGACATTTTTTTCTTACAAAATATTTTCTTTTTATTTATTTTTTAATTATTTTTATTTATTATATTTTATTTTATTTTTTATTTTCGCCACGCACTCTGGTGACGAACAGGTCGTATTATAAACCCTCCAATTTTAAAATGCCGTTACATTTATTTTATCTTTCTTTCTTTCTTTCTTTCTTTCTTTCTTAAATAATTAATTGTGTCTATTTAAATTATATTGTTTAAATTAATAATAAAATAATAAATAATAAATTTATTTTCAGATTTTGGTCTTTTGTAATAATAATAAACTTTAAAAAAATTTACCACGTAGCTATTAGTAAATACATCACGTGACCATTAGTAAATACACTACGCTGATGGTTGAGGGTTAGATTAAGATTCGTATTTTCAAAAAAAAAAAAAAAAAGAAGCAATAAAAAAGAAGATAAAATATACTTTTTATTATTTTTTTTTTTCCTTTGATAAGACGACTTTTAAGATACACTTTGGATTATACAATCTAATCACGTGTTAGTATATTTTTCATTATTTATTTTTTATATTTCATTTAAAAATGAGTTTCTTTTATGATTATTATTATTATTATATTCTAAATATGATTTTAATTTAATAATGAATAATCCAGTAATAATATTAAATTGCATAAACATTTATTTACTATAATTATTTAATATTATTTTAAAACGTGTGAATTATGGTTGGAAGATGGGAACAATCTGTATTATTGGATAATTCAAATTGTTTTTTTTTTTCATTTATCACACGTTAATCACACGCTCAACAATCGTTCTTCTATGCACTTCCGTATTTGACATGAGGAGATTTTCAATTGGTGGAATAGGTGAAAACGTGAAACCATCTTTTATTATTCTTCTAACATCCTGTTATTTATATTTATATATAGTGTATATATATATATATATACATACACAAATACAAAAGTGTGCTTAAATACGTTATGTACTTACATTTTATCAGTCTCTTTTGTACTATATATATGTATGTTTATGTAATACATTATCTATACGTATGTATGTATATGTAACTATATCACTGTATATATATATATATATATATGCATCTTTTTTGTTATTAAATTATGTAAAAAAGTTTCTATGTATTTTAATGCTAAACTAACATAAAATACATTTATTTGTTTTTATATTTTAAATATTACAGTCTTCTACAAATGATTTAAAATCGTTTCGTGATCGATGTTTTTATTTTTATTTTGTTTTTATAGTTATCTTGACTGTTAATACGTCAGTCTTGTTTCATTTTTTCCCCCATAATTTTATAGATTTTTTTGTAATAATAGTTTGATAAAAGTTAAGTGCATCTTCTTTTATCTACTTCCTCATATTGTCCAGTTAATTCAATTTTTTTGTTCTTATCTGATGTTAATGTTGTCTCCGTAATTATATTTATTTCACGGTAGGTAACTTTTCGTGCAAGAGTTATCATTAAAAAAAAACAGCTTTCAAAGTTCTTCTCAAAGTGAGAGAAGAGTATTTTTGATTCGATACACGAACGACGTGTGGAAAATTTATTCGATATTTTTCCTTTTTTTGTTCGTAAAAACAGCACGACGATTATCCATACAATTAAAAACTATATTTAATCAATTTTCGTAGAATATTTTTTTTTATAAATCGTTCGATATACATCGAATTTTTTCGTATCTTCGTTTTAACAGGTGTCCCTTTTTTTTCCTTTTTTCTTTTTTTCTTTTTTTTTTTTTATATGTCATGCACACAACGTTACACGAATAATTCAAATGAAATTCTTTCAGATACGTTGAAGAATGTACAATTGTTTTTGCGCAAGTGTAAAAATCAATCTCGATTGTATTATAGAAAAACACATGAAAATTCATGATGCGTGTGGTTTAGGACACACCCACCACTCACTCATCCATTACCACATTCTTTTTTTTTTTTTTTTGATACTTGTTCTCAATTATTTATGTTGTTATTTATCGTAATTCTTATTTCAAAATGATTGTGTTGAAGGTTGTCTCAAGTATTTCGTAAAATGTTTATAAAAGAAGACTCGCTCTCTCTCTCTCTCTCTTCCTTTCTCTCTTTCTATTCTTCTTCCCTCACTCTCCTCCTCTCTCTCCCCTTTTCCCTCCCACTCCTTTTCAAGATCATCTGTATTCTCAGGAATGATCACAGGGATGTTTCATAATGCAGTTTTCATTTTACAAATAGATGACCTTTCTTAAAGGACTTTAACACATAATTATTCAATTAATTAGTAAATTTACCACATATATAAATGTGTGTATAATAACAGGTTTTGAAAAAGCCACAAACATGAGCCATGACGAAACATGACTTACATTAGTTCACTTAATACATCGTATGTTACAACCACAAATAAGTATATACATATATATA